ACGATTAACACTTGGGTGATATAAGGGTGAAATGGTCCTGAAGTAGATGAGAACAAGAAGCTGAAGACGAAGAGGAGTGAAGTGGACCGAATAACAGGAACGGCTAATACGTGATGAGGCTTCAAGAAGCCCCGCTTCTGCCCTAGTTTCACCAATATTATGCCCCTAAATTCGACAAACAAGCGGTTTCAAAGACCTATTTTTTGACATCAATCATTGTCACTGGATTGCAAGAGAAAGCGGTTATCATATAAACCATAGCGCCCCTGCGCATGTCGGAAGCGCTTGTTTTAACAGTTTCTGGTTGTCAGGAGGGGAAGAACATGGGGCGACGACTGTCGGCAGGGGCGGCGTCGGCTCTTTGATCAACCTCGAAGACATAAATAAGCTCATGATAAATGTGTGGTTATGGCGGCTTATTTGATGCAGCTGAACAGGCTCCTCTAGCTCATTTATGGTAGATGGAATTCCGTGCGAAGTACCCAGGATGGCTTTTAGTTCAAGCTCACTCCCCCGCCCCGCGGATTAGTTTAATTGAGTCACTAATTCGGGCGGCTCCTGCTTTCGCTATTAGTTCTATTAATGAAAACGACTTCAGTTTTAGAATAATGACCAGTCGTAATCGGAATATCCTTGAACTACCCAGGGAATATGTGGGTGTTGGAATATTCACATGTGAATTCATTCGTAGCTTCAGCATTTGTAACATCTTAAGAGTGGAATTAACTCACAAGACAGGATCGATGCCGCAAAAGCACTTTCTCCTGAAATGTCACGCTACCATGAGAAGTGATGAGTGCTAGGAAAATGATGGACGTTAATCCCTCCCTTGTAAAGTAATGCAAATTTCAAGATATGCAACTTAAATACATATTTTTCTATGATAATATAATGACGTTTTACCCGCATGCTTGATGGCGTTGTAAAGTAAGTTTTTTATTTATTTTCTGCTATTTAGGCTGTGTCGCAGGGCTTTAAGAATTTGTGTAGCTTCATTAGACCACAAACTCGCTAGATTTCGAATCTGAACACGTGCACCTGATGAAAGTCTATGGTGTTTGTGGCGTACGAATGGTCGGTTGTGTTTGTTCAGCTGGGAAATCTCAGTTCTAAACAAGAAAACCTCATCATCAGAGCCGTGGCTTCAGTCACAATCAAGACTGAGGTACAGGCTTGGGGTCTGTGAGTCGCAACCGGCCACGAAACATGGGCAAACGAAGCTGGACGCTAACAGTGGGGTGGGGTGTGCTATTATGGCACCACCTGCACACCCACCAGCCACTGTGGGAGTAGGCCGCCTCCTAATTGGCGGCCCTTTGCAAGTAGCACGAGCACGCACGCTAACACGGGGGTGAGGACTAACCCACGTGCTTGGTAAGTGGTTTCACTTAGGAGGGCAACAGAGGCAGCACGCAACGAGGTTTAGTTAGAATTGCAGATAATGGGACAACTGCCATAAATTACCATTTCACCCCCCTTCTCCCATTCAGGAAGAGTAAGGCTAATTACAATGGCGTTCCTGAGCTCCTACACGCCTGAGGCTCCGTGGTAATGGGGAGACAAAAAGGTCAAGAAAAAGTGGGTATTTGTGGTAGTGGCTCTCAGTGTTTATTTTTTCTCATACGAGAAATCTGAGGTGATGCATCGTCGAAACCTACCAAGCTTGGAGTTAAGCAGCCACAGCCTGACGCGTGATAGACAAAATGTCGCAGCACATTCTGAAACGGTCGCTCTAACTGAGGCTTAACCCAGATGCTAGGACACGGATCTGATCTATTATGACAAGCTGCGAGCCAAACGCCCTCAAATCAACTGATCCGTCGTTAGGCTATGAGGAGGTGGGCCGGTCCGAATTCCTAACGGCAAAGTACCGGAGCAAATGCGATTGAAATATTCCAAGTTGTCTTTAAGAGTTACTGCACCAATGTGTTATGGGCTGCGGGAATGCAACACTCAAAAACACAACCGCCTCAGGCTCATCATATGCAACACTAGATACGCAAGTTTATGTCGTGGATGGCGGTTAGAAGAGCGGCAACGCTCGGCGCTGGTGCCTGCCTCAAGCAGAGAATTCACACGCGGTGACGACAACAACTTATGCATTACTTGAATCCTCACATTAGTGCTGCTTTTTATGCCAAGAGATATAAACATTCCCGATCATGGTGGCATAAACACTTACGATCTGGGTTAGCATGGAGGCAGGGAGCGCCTGACTGCCATTAAGGGCATCCATTTGTAAAAAAAGCATGTAACAAGCACAAATTTGGGTAGTTCTCAATAAGGACTTTTGTGGTTAAATGGCGAAACCGCGGTGTTTGGTCAAAGACCTGGTAAAAATATTAAATTCGACGTGGAACCCCTGCTCATCCCGTATAGAACTTTTTGAGCTGAGTATATGAAGGATATAGTACTGTTTAAGTAGTGCTTGATGCAACACCACTGAAAATATCTCTGATTGGCTCCAAAGGTAAATATGCTAATCCAAGAGTAGCTCCGGTTCAAAATCTTGATATCTTCCTGCAAGCAATGTCCAGGCAGTGCGATTCCAACCTGGAGGAATTACCTACTAGTAAGAGTTAATCACTAGCTAGGTCCAATCCCAACTCACGTGCTCATTTTCAACGTGAAATGGCCAAGTTTTGAGGGATTTTTTCCGGTTTCACTTTGAGTCGTTGAAAAAGCAATGGGTTCAACGCGTCTGTGGCAAAGATAAAGATGCAAATTGAGGTCTCAAAGCATTTCTGAGGTGGCTGTAACACAATGTCTCACGTATGGAAGCGTCTTAGGTGAAACCGTCGAAATACGCTCAAATTTTCTGTCGCAGACACTTAATACTAATACTCTGTAACGAAGTTATCCACAATACCATTTAACAGGACTTTTCCTGTTACGGACAAACCACTTGGGGTGCTGATGTGTTTATCTACCTTGGCCTGGAGTCCTTTGATGCGCTGACAACCCCTTCAAACACCAAACCTATCAACAAAGTTCCACCCGTTGCTTTTCAACTAGGAGGCTGATTTTGTGAGTACTAACCTCTATTTAATTTCACACGTTTATGACTACCGCCCAATGCTAAGTTGATGAAATAAAAGCCACCACCATCACCGCGATTCTCGGCTCTAGCCTTTAGATAATCTGAGGCGTCCTTCGTCAGTACTCACTTCCAAAGTGGCCATCTTTGGAGAGTTGAAAGGACGTTGCGTCTTGACTTAAGTGGCGAACTTAGTCTAAGCGCTATGTAAATCACCTCAGCCAATCAGGATATTGGTAATCTTGAGTACTAAATTAGTTAATTCCAGGGTGTGATTACATAGGGCAATTTTAAACACTAGTCACCCCACTCAAATTATTTTCTTTGTTCTTCCCGAGTTGATTTTATATCTACAACCTAGGAATTGACTTGTTTTACGATAAGTTACCAGCTCCGCTGAAGATGGATGCGTGCATCAGTTGCCAGCAAAGGAATGCAAACGAAATGACCAAGACAACGGTATGTCCGCAGTCTGATTTGACGTGACATTCGTTAGAGCAGCTGCCTTCAATCCTAGAGTTAATCGACTCATAAATTTTGAATCATGATATTAGAAAGCTGACTATTTTAACCATGAAACGGATTTCATTCTGCTTGCTGTACGCTAATTCCGTTTAAAATGAAAAAATCTAAGCCTTAGAGCATCAGTTAAGGATTAACCCCATTTATTTTTGTTACACTTGTCGATAGTAAATCTGTGCTTGTGAAAGCGCATCCTCTAAGGTGGATTTCAACGATAGCAACTTACCTCAGTTGAGACGCTACACAAATATGATTTCAGAAGACAATCAGGCAGTTGTTCGGACACTCCAAACAGGGAGACGAAGCGATTCAGCCTCAGATTTTCCCTGTGTGGTTGGCTGTGTAGGTAGCCCCCTTTCCCTCCCAACCCACTTTTACGCAGTCACCGCATCACCAACACATCCACCTGCTGGGCAGCGGACTTAAAAGTTTGACATCATCGGCGTGGGCCTTCTAAGCAGCGGCATAGGTTAGACAAGGACCGTTAGCCTCGGAGTTGAGACCCACGTAGTGAGCTATCGGCATGCAGGTGGAACACGCATTAGAACCTACCACCTTGCCTCTCGTCAACTAAATAAAAGGTCGGAATCTGGAGTTTGCTTTGTGTCTTCAAAGGGGAGAAAAGCAATTTGCAGAACCGTGTGCCTCGATTCGTTTCTCACCTTTTGATGCATATATCACTATTGATGGCCCCGCCGGCCCACTCCCCATTCACGCTACAGGATTCTTTTTCGAGCCTTGTGGTTCTGAATGGGTTTCTGCGAAATGTGAATTTGGGACAATTCATCAAAGTAAAAATGCAAGAAGACGATTATTAAGATGCACGTAGTGCCATTTCCAGAATTTAGACTGAAAAATAAATTAGGCGCGTGTCTGGTCACGGGGTGGAGAAAGCTAGCGCTTTTCATTTTGATTCCCACCAGGAAATCGCTGAGAACAGAGCCTACTGTAAGTTCATAAGTAATAATTTTGTTGTAGGCCTATGACAGCTGACAATCATGCGATCTGCAACCCACCCAACCGGTTGACGGAAGTAAAACAAGGCCAAAATAGTCATTTAGTGAGTAGCATATGTAAAGGTAAGTGGATATACCCTTCGAGAGCTATCCGCAGTGGACGCGCGTGACCAAAGCGAGTTCACAGTTTGACCTAATCCCGATGACTACCGACATTGATTGACAACCAACAATATCGCTCATGCATTCCTATGCTCTGCCGCCTGCCTTGTCTCTATTCTCGGGTTGTCACGCACATTTAACTAACGGGACTGTAAGGAAGTGTCAGCGAAGCACTGCATACACACTTTTAACTCAACAAGACCGTGCGCATTCAAGTAATAGAAATGTCGATGCTACAAAAACCCCAGCCACAGCAAAAAAAAATAGGATAAAAATCATTTTACTTAAGTGTAGGAAAATAATGCGGCATGGAAATCGTCTATTTACACAGCGCACTGGTTGTAGTTGGAGGTGTTGACAAGTCGGACGCCACACATGGCGCAGATGCCCTTTTTGAACGCGCACGACTGGCAGTAATGGGCCTCCGGGTGGTGGACACTTTGGCCGCATATTCGGCACCTGCGGAAGGACTTGGAGTAGGGATTGTAGCGCCCCTTCGAGGCTGAAAGCAATTTGTTATTGTCCAGTCGTCGTGAGGCCCCGGGGCCCTTAATCACACCGCGCGAGCCCGCCTTCCACGGATCCGGGGTCGCGATCTTCACCAACTTCTTCTCGCCTGTGGCAAAAGGCACGGACAGAGGTGAGAGAGCTACAGCACACACGCCTTATCGGAAGGGTAAAAGTGTGACTCGCGGGAAAGGCGAATCGTCATTAGTGCAAATTATCCTCGCTGACAAAATAATCACTAAAACACGATTTCAATATAACGAAAGTCCCAGAACAGTTCACAAAAGCATTAATGTAGAAATCCCTCATTGCTCATGCAAAAAGGAAATCCGTAATTTTATAACATCACCTGGTTAAAAAAAGACTCGTTGTTCAATACCCACCACCAATAAAATTGATTACGCAAGAAGACGGCGTTCTAAGTGAGACCATCTGGTAATGTTAGGTTAAAGGTCAGACCGAGTTTTTAAGAGTTTTGTTTTGGTTTGGCAGCACCTCCTTCACTGCTGGCATAAGGCATTTTTATCACGTAAAACCAAAAAGTTGTGCGTTATGAAACGTCAGTAATCAATCAGCAGTTATTGGTTCCCTTTTAAGAAGTACAACACAGCAAAACAGTTGAACCACAAAGCCTGAATAGATTCAAAACCCACTCACAATGATTCTAGGCAAATGGAATGATTCTTGAACTGCAGCTAAACATGACGCCTACAATGCATGTTGCAAATCATGGCATGTCTAACGAATTGAGCTAGCGTAGAAGTGGCGCAAGTAAAACGGTTCCATTCCAATGCAAAGAAGGGATTGGTGCGTTTCATAGTTTTAGGCCTTACCAAAACCGATAAAATAATCGGCAAAAGCATGAAAGCGATGCTTAACCCATTCGGGTGCTGCGCGTACACAGAAATTGAATTATGCTATGGCAATTACAAGATGAAGGTCCTTAATACTTATGACGATGTCATTTATACCTAGCAGGGTTAACAAGGGTAGAAATATGCTGTTGCGAAGGTAAGGTGGTGCATATAAAAGCACATTAACCAAGAATAAAAGTTAATGGGCATGAAAAATTATAGTTAACTTAGGCCTATGAAAGGTTATGTTAAGGCCTCCACAGAGGATATGGCAAATACAGGGATGCATAAGAACGAACTTCAAGATTAAGCATCAAATAAGCACGATATAGGTTCAAAGGAGTCCGTGTACCATTATAAATGTGCGAAAAAACTGGAAAAGTCAAAAGTAAAAATGTGTACATCTTTAATAGAGCCACTTACAACGACCTGTGAAACCACATACATAGGAGTAACGGTGTGGAGAAAAGCTGCCATTAGCAAATTTCCCATTAACATTTAACCGCCAAGCACACAGCAATTTGGTTTGAAATTTGAGCTCATACTAAGGAAATATTTTAATGGTGGGATTTTATCCAAAATGTTGATTAAGAGGCTTCTTAAACACAGGGAATTGTGGCTGCACTCGCCCGACCTACCGTACAAGACTACGCCAACATACAACACATTAAAAAGCAAATGTGGGCTATATGGCACTAAAACATTAAGTACGTGGAAAAAAGGAAAGACGCACTTACAAGGACTTACATTTTTCGCACACCATGACACTGAAAAAAAAAACAATTGATTTATGCGAAGTTGTATTTGCTACTTGGTATAATAGAAATAATAATATAAAAAAACACATACAACGTCAAAAACAGTTAATATAAAAAAAGGCTTTCTTGATGTATGGCAGGTAATACGACTTAACATTCGACAACAATTACAATGGGAACAGCATTAATTAATGACAAAAACAATAACTACTCAAAAGGCAGATCGCTCAAAGGCATGAAATTTTTCAGATTTAAATTTAAAAGCTTTACGACTAATACTGAAAAACTGAAATCACCAATATACTGGACAAAATAAGGCAATATTTCAGGTACAAACAACGAGCAAAAAAGCAGTGCCGGGACAACAAATCAAGTAAAAAGTAAATGAGTACATAATATTAAAGGCGGTTGAAACGCCAAAAGAAAAGAGGTTCACCAACAAAATTACGTATTGACGATAACAACAGCTCATACCCTGATGTTAACTCGGGGATGTTCCGCAAAATATGATTTAGGCACGTCAAAATTAGCTGATTTAAACTAATATTGCAAAGAATAAATTACTGGGAGAAAAGTCTTTAGGTAATCAACCTAACTATCGTAAGACAATTGCGTTCATTATCAAAATATTTTTATGATAATTTTTTTTTAAATTACAGGCGAGGGCATGCATTTTGCAATTATCACAGCGATCGAATAAGGCATACGGTTCTCATTTGTTTTTACTAGATTCTAAAAAGTTCTATTTATCAAATAATTTTTGCATCTAAACAAAACAACATAACAGGTGACGTGCCACAGTTAGAATTAACCGGAAAAAAATACCTTTTTATTCGGAGAACAAATGGTCTTTTGCCACATAATAATTTCAAACGAAACTCTATTGGTGAAAATTATCCCAAACTGCAATTACCTACTACCAAATGCTTAACCGTTTTATTCACTGGCTTCCATCCCCCTATATTTTAATTGTTGCCTGATCGCTTCTAGAAAACGCACTCTAATCATGTACGCAAAACGGTCTTCACTAATCGGCAAAATTTGAACCATAATAAAAGTTATTTTAAGCTTAAATTTGTACGTCTTTCTAAACACATATCATAAAATATCTTGGTTTGATATAAGAAAAAAGCAAATTCCTATTTAAATTGCTTACCGACAAAACTAACAAGCCAATAATGTTTTTTTTTAAATAATGATCTAAGTTTAGTGAAGTAACTACGCAGCAAATGAAAAAAGATCACGTTAACCTTTTTGACATTGTGATTGATCGTGTTATTTCATTAATGTCAAATGTCCACAGTTAACTTAAGCGAAGCTAAACTGAAAAAGCCATTATTTTTTCGGCTTAGATCTTCCTACAATGCCCTAATTCTGTTTAAATTCGCAGGAATACTGCATAATTTGGGAAATTTAATATTTTAATTTGTTGCATTCTGATTTCTGGTGAAAGGAAAAGTGCGTGTAGAGTTAGGTTTGCATTAGAATACCTGAGTCTTAGTGTAAAGACGGATATCAAAAAGTGCAATTTAGGCAAATGAGTTTACTGGGATTGTATTTTAAGACTGCACATTCTTAAATATTGACCAACGCATCTTGCCTATTCTCTGATATACTGTTGATCTTCCTTGCGCCATTTAAACACACTTCGTGAAAGCATTGGCTGAGTTCGTCCTAATTCAATATGGCTGCGCCTTAAAAACCGCACAACAGTGCGAGCGGCTTATGTGTCGTTCAAGTAGTTGTTTTAGTCTTCGTTTAGCTTAGAATGGAAAGTGTACGTTTCCATTTGATTGATTTATTCTTTAAGGAATTGGATGAATTCAATGATGAGACTTTTGGGGGTGCCGAAATAGGTATGTGATGTAACTTGCGTATAAAATACCTGAAGGTGATTGGGAATTGGAACACGAAAAGTTTGTGTCAGAATTCAGCGAAGACGAACTTCCTCCAAGTCCATGTGAAATTCCCAAATTCTGGGAGTCCGCAGATCTTTCGGATTTCTGGTCGGCAGGAGATTTGGACGTTTCCCAATCATTCGACTCCGTAACTCCTATTAATTATTTAACCGTTTTTAAAGGTATTGAACCTTGAGGATACCGTTAATAAGCTTATTTGCGACGATGAACTGGAAGATCCTGCCATACTAGATATCTCCAAGCACCCTCCACGCACTGGTGTTCAAACTCCCGTCTCAGCTGTGCCTGGCGTAAATCTCAATGGGCCTAATATCTGGGCACCTAAGTCCCCAGCATGTGTCAGTCTGAAAAGCCAATCGCAAGAATGCAGTCAGGACCAACCAGACCCTCTTCAAAACCTGCTTTCTACTCTAAAACTCGGGCAAAATATATCTACGCAATCTAACCTGAGGGTGACATCACACCAAAATGAGAGTTCAACATCAAACCCCACCATCGGTGACGCGCTGTTCCCCACTTTACCCAAGCCAAGTCAGCTAGAACCCAATTTGGTAGGTGCACGTTTTTGTAGTTAGTAACTGCTCTACGTCATTCAACATTTCTTTGATTTAATTTACCAGACCGCTCATGATATTCGTAATTTACCTCCACCTCCCTCCCAGACTCAACCTCCATGGTGTTTTCTGGGGACACCGGTGACTTCGTTCTGTGACGCTTCGCCGGAATTGCACAAACTTTTATCTAGTCGCTTTGGTTTAGTTCGACCCCAGCAAATTTTACCAGGGTAAGTCACTTATATAGTATGCCTCGTATAGAAAATCAATTTTTCCATCATCGTGGTAGATTTTAATTTGTACAATTTTTAGCTTGTGCCTCTGTCTTGGAAAAAGGAAGTAACTCAAACACATATTGATTATAGCGTCAATTTGTGCTACGTTTCGTGAAGCCTGTGCGTAGTTGTGATGGACCAGATTAACCATTTTCAAGCTTTTATGGGTTTTGTGTTTTCCCAACAGCTTGTCTGGCGCCAATTAATTATGGAATTTACTCAGTTAAGTGTGACCCTTCGTTCTAGTTGAGTTGGCAAGTCTACCAAATTTGTTAGCCACATTATATTTGGTTTCGTTGCTTCTTCCTGATTGCAGTCCCTCACCTCTCGCCGCGGCTTTGCGAGGAGCCCCGCCAATGCCTCCACGAGTTGGTCCGCTCTCGCGTCCAACGACTCCACAGCTGATTTGTCCGCGTTTGACAGCACCACCTTTAATACCTCCTCATAGTCTACTGCTCCGCCCCTTCGTCCCTTTACCACACCCACCAAAATCGCCTTTCACCTTCGCCCATCATCAAATTCCGCACCTTGCTCCACTCGACACTATTAGAATACAGGATGTCCTCACCGCACGGTTTGAAGCCGATCAGCCTGATCCCTCGGATGTCGACCCTCGGAAAGGTTCTTGGATGAGCCCACATGAGCAGCTTGTTGTTCTTAACTATCAGGTTCGGTCGCTCAGTGTGGGAAATCCCTATGTTGAGGTAAGCTAACTACTTTTTGTCCCATTTCTGAATGTGGACCCCCGTGGTTTCCTTAATCTTATTCAATGCAACTTAATTGCTTGAGCCCAAAAACGAATTGTTCATTACTGTATCGTCTAGGCTTTTCATTCCTCCCTTAGGACTACTACTTTGCTGTCAAGTGGCTTCGCATGGTTGCCAAGATGCGTGAACGTAAGTTAGCCGAGGGCGTTCCTGCTGCAAGCCTGCCACCGCCCTACTTCCATCTCTCTGCTCCAATTACCTCCACTAGCCTCATCAGTTCTGATCACCACCATCGGATAGCAATGCGCTGCCGGTTCATCATTGTGCTTGGCAAGCGAAAGAAGCAGCTGGCGGTGGAGCAAAAGCCCGTTTTAAATAATGCATTGAAGAAGGAGGCGGACGCGGGCCCCTACGCCACCCAACTCGGTCGTCCGACCAAGTCGAATATCAACGCTCAACGAATCATCGCCGACTTGTCCATTGCGACGGCATTGGGCGAGGAGCAGAAAGAAAACTACGAAGCCGAAGTTAGTCTTGTTTTTTGTTCATTTTCACGTTATTTTCAGTTTAACAGATCCTATTATAAAAAATTGCCGATTGTTAGATTTACTTTGCTTTCGTGTATAAATGGCTTCCGTAAGCATCTAGTATAGCTCTGGTCTTTGTACAAGTGCCATAATTAACTGGCTTTTTCATCTACTACTCCTTTAGTTTAATCCGAGCCTTAACGAACCCGAATTAGCTATCATATTGACTTTCGTTTTGCAACCTCTTATGTGTAGAAAAGGAGGCTCAGCCGTGTTCTCAATCCTTGTCACCTTCACACATGTTGCACCTAAAGAAGCTATTAAACTACGGTTCTTATCTGTTTTTAGTTTTCGAAATGTGTGATGTGTGAAATTTCGAGCTTTTCACACTAGGATGAATCTTTTTTCAAACTCATTTGTAACGAATTGTCTATCCTGATATTTACCCTCATTGGCTTCCTGGACTTCACCTTTTTCCGCTCTCAATTCCAGAGTGTCACGTCTGCGGCTGCAGTTGCCGATAAGATTTCGACCAAAAAACCGGCTTCGGCCTCTTTCCCATCACGCCAACACCAAGCCGTAATTGGACAACGTCGTCGACTGGAAGTTCTCGCTCGCATTGAACGCCTCTACGCCACAGTGCTCAACATTGACGAAACAAATGTTTCTCTGGCTCGTATCTTTGTTAAAAACGAGGAGTGAGTTCCTTTTTATAAATTGAGTTCCTTGGCATTTAGGAGCATCACTGCTTATAGTGACCTTATGGCTGGATATCTTTAACACCTGCGTGCTTTTCCGTGACAGCGTTTGCCTTTCCTATGCAGGAACACAGGCCCAATTTATGGATGAAGCGGGTTTCATTAGAGTGGCCACGTGCTCTTCAAAAATAAATGCTTTTCAAGTCCGGGTTCATAGTTTCGCATGCAACATCGCGCGATTTCACTAATATTGTTTATATGGATGGTCTTGTTTGATTCTCACGTGCAGTCCGCAGGGCTTCGGCAATGTAGTCTGCTCCGCTCTTGCTTTTGCATCGAAGCTTTGACCTCGCTCCTTTAGGTCCCGAAACCTGATGGGACATCGGCTGAACTTGCTTAAAGTCCTTCACCGCGACCTCTTCTTCACGAGTCAAACTCCGCCATCACCGCTAGGCATTTCTGCGACGTCCGACAGCAACAACACAGAGTCGGGGACCGGGTCATTATCCACGCCGTCATTTCAAAAGACGCGCCATTTCATTCTTGACATCTTCGAGGTGCCAAAGGGTGTTCGCCTGTTTCCACTCATCCTCCGTTTCCTGTTTCCCGTGAGTGATACGACTTTGGAGGTGTTCCTGTGAAAAAATAACTCTGCTTCCTTTTGCCGTGTTCTACAAAGTAGTGTACCATTGATTCGTCAAGTCTCTAGTGCTCTTTTCGAGATACACACACTTCAGCAACTGACAGAAATCCGCGAATTTAACATTACACTGAATCGCCAGCTGTCGTTAGACAAATTGCCGTTAAACATCACCGAAATAATTTACGGTAGGTGATGCCCTCCTGTTTCCTAGCATGGTTCCTTACAGCTTACTTGTACAATGCAGTTTTAATTTCGGACCTAGATGGTGACAGGTTCGGTTCCACGTTTTTGTGGGTTTCCATTTAGTCGCTCAAAAAGCTGATTGGGTGTCAATCTTTGCGCAACTCATAGTATTATGTGAAGTAGAGATGAGTGATCTCCCGCAGCTAAGTCTCGTCTGCGGAAGGTGAACACACAAGCCAGCAGCGAATTCAAGGACTCGATTCTCAACTGACGTTATGTCTCCGCGTTGCCATCGCATGGAAACAGTGCTCCGTCCCCTCGAATAATGCACTCATTCATCCGAATGCGTTTTTTTTTTATTTCCTACCAGGAGGATCGACAGTTTTGCGTCTCCGAGTTCATCTCTCAGTTCGCCAAAGTGAATGGATCTGCAAAGGGCGGACTGGATGCGGTAGGTCTTGAACATCATTGCATATATCCGTCTTACAAAAATCTGCAAGCAACCATAGATTGGTGTTGCTTAAGGGTTTGCGCCCTGGGAGCAGCTCTATAATGTTAGCTTGCAAATGCCTTACTGACAGCTGTAAGGTAATACCAAAGCGGTTTACGGTCGTAATGTTTAACTGTGGCAAGAAAATTTAAGAAGGGGGTTTTCGTTATTCGGTGTTTTGTAAGGGCTTTTTGTGTGTCCACTTTCCACGCAGACTCAAGTCATTTGCGCTTTTTTTGAAATGGCTTTCCAATCTTTTAATCTTGAAAAAGCACCAAAAGTTACCCTAAAGAAGCAGCTAGCCGCTCTGTACTCGACGGTGAACCGCTCGCCCAACTGACCTTTGGTATCCTTTGCATTTGGTATCACAGTATGCACAAATTCTGTACGGGCCCATCCGCGATGTGATCTACAGGAGTTCGGAAGGCTCAAAACACTTCATTCGGTCCTGTATACAACTACCTCTCTCGTTGAATTCTCTCATCTCTGGTGCACTGGAACCAAACGCTCTAGCTATGTTCTCCTCCAGGGTAAGCGGCAATTTCTTTTTCGCTGTCTCTCTCATCAACTTTTATTCCTTTTCTGGTGGTCTGTCGGTATCTATGATTTCCCACATCACGCCATGCCAGTTTACGGTGGTGTTACTTGTCCTGAAAATCGAAATCCTGACGCCATTCAGCTTTTAATTCCGCTGGATGTGTGTGTGACATCAAATCAAAGCGCGTTAGCATGTTGTATGGATTATTATGTGCCCCACTCATCACTCGGTTGTGACCAGAGTTCCTTCTCCTCCACCCCCCCTCTCCTATTGCAATGCCTTTTCGTGGTCATTTTGCTTCTGTCATTCCTCCACCAACGTCGTGTGCTCTCCACGTGTTAACTTGACCGCTCTCCTTGCAGCTCGGAGTCTCCTTGTTCCTGTGTCTTTTGGATGCGTGTGCGCGAAACTCTCAACGCGACGACCCAAGCTTATTGTGAGTTGCTTTTTTTCTTCCTCACGAGCATTCACTGTTTGCTGTCCTTCTTTATGACACAAAATACTACTTATGGGCATGCAGTAAAGACACTCTTTGTAGCTTGCTATGATTGAAGTCAAAATTCGGGTTTCCAAGCTAATTATCAATACCAGCTCGATTCCTATCCCAGTAGGTTACTTACGGGTTAGAGTCAAGGCTTTAGTGTGTTCATTTTCGACAACGGGGTACGGTCTAATATGTGTAATTCCGAAACCTTAATCCCGCTGATAACCAATGAAACATGTCGATTTAGATGAAATCTTGCCGGATTGTCACAAACAAAATGGGTCACGTATGTTCCACTATTGGAGGTGCACGTATTGTGATAAATAAGTCGTGACGCCTTCATCCACATTTAACCAGCACCGGAATCCCTAAATTTCTAAAAATCCACAATACCAATTCTTTATGGCTTGCCTCTCCCCCTGTTTTAAGCTGTGAACTTTTCTTCTATGCCTGTCGCATCGTGGGCCAACTCGTCCACACGGACCTGCCCACGCCCCTGGAGAACTTTCCCCACTTCGCCCAGCTGGACCCTCAATTCCTGATGCCGAAGTACCTCACCGAAGCCTACTCCCGCAACGGCCTCCCGCAGTACGGCGTTCTTCTGCGTCGGCTCTCCGTTAGAATGTCGTCACAGCACCAGCAAATTTCTAACTTAACTGCACCTCCCCAACCCCCTCCTAGGAATTTGTCCCAAGCAGTCGCCCCGCAAAACGAAGTAACATTAGCCTAACCGTGAGTTTTGTGCAGTCACATCACTGCTGTTTGTCAGCAATCCAAACGAGTTCTCAGTGAAATCTGAGGTTCTGTTGGTCGCCATGTCTAGTGTCGCAGGTTGTGGTTGTGCTCGTGTGTGTGCTGGTTATAAGTCGCCAACTGCATGCAAGACCAAGCTCTCCAACGTCGCATAGTTTACTCGTTTCGCTTATGTCGAAGCCGGCTTGCACATTGCAATCAAGCAACCCTATGGAAATTTCCACCTTCCCAGCTATCGCTCTTAAACGCATTGTGTAGCCATTTTTCGAAGTTGCCGTGCGTGCCTATGTGTGTGTGTGTGTGACTGGGAATGAGTTGCGTGTCTGTCACTTGGATCCAACACGCCTAATTTAATCTAAAACAATCAACCATTCACCAAGTATCGTTTCGCTCACTTGCCGCCTGGTAGTTACGCCTCCTGAATCCGCGAAAGGCGCACTTTTTAGAGTTTCCTAAGCCAAAAAAGCATTGCTAAGTCAGTCCTCGTTGTCTGCAATTTGAGTATCTTCTTTGGTTCCAGCCGCCCCGGTTTGCACGTCAACGCCACGTCTGCTATTCGGCTTCGTTGATTTGCCCACTTAACCAGCTGACTACATTCTAGGTTTGTGCTGAAATGCATGTCGAAAGTTTGTTGTAATCAGTCACTGAAATTGCTGTCATTATCACTATTATTTATGTGAAAAACGGTTTTATTAATTGCTATCTAGTAACGCTGATGTGGTTAGTTGTGAGTCCTTTTGGCGATGATCAGGCCAGTCCACAGAACCAACTTTCCTCTTTTTGGCACTGTGGTTCCCAAATTCCAACCGCCATCCATCCTGAAGCTAATAAAATTCTACGCCGTTATTGGCAGCAATTTTAATCTCTTTCTTGTCTGGATTTATCCTTCGTTTCCACTTGGTTTAACTCCTTATCGCTGGTTCCCGGTTCACGAGGTCTGCTGCCATTTCAATTGCCAAATCCTGTCTCGTTTTGTCCTCGTTCTAAACGCGTACTCTACTTCCTACTTTTCAGTAGCGCCGACACCATCTCGATTAACTATTTTGGATGTGTGCAGGCCATATTCCTGCCACCGAGTAGATTAGTTTGGATTCTTTACCACCTATAACAATTGACTCACTTTTATAACGGAAGGGTAAACGTGTGATAAGTTAATGGAATCCGTCCGCTGGCCCTTGAAATCGTGTAGCCTGCGGCACTGTTAACTACCCACTGATAATTCACCCATCCATCCATCCATTTTAGGCCAACTGTGAGAACTGCTCTGGCTGACCTGTCTCTTCACTGCTTTGTGTATCAAAAAAGAAGTCACCTTCTTGTAAAATTGTTTTTTACTTCCTTTATGTAAGTCGATTCGGACACAGATGTGGTTTTTTGCGTCAGTCTCCCCGTGCCCAACTGACTCACCTCTCATCGTAAACCCCCGTATTCTTTGAAATGTCCCTGTACGTACTGCTTCCCCCTTTCTCTCCCCTTTTTTAGTAGACCCATGACCAATCGTGGTGCATTCGCTTAAAATTATTGCTCTTAACCCCGACTGCTCACAGTAAAGGCATTCAATCCGACCTTTTTGTGTTATTTATTCTGTTGGTGGGGTTGCTTATCGCCACTGCTGTGCCATGCCGCCTGGGTGAGGGCTTTCGGTTCGATTATGCAATCGCCCGAGCTGTCACACACACACACACACACTTGAACATCGCAGAGCTCGGCAAAGGGGTTGAATCGGTGCAAGCGGATTCGCGCGTTCTTTGATAGTGGTGCACCATTAGCAACAACCATTGAGGCTGCATTTGGCTCATTCGACGGACCGTGAGGAGTGACATCAATTTCATGCAGTCAGAGAACACGGAGATTGGCTTAGTCCGACCAACGTGCTTTTAGAGGGTGTTGTTGGCACCAGGTGGGTCATTTCCACTGAACCCAGTGTGAGAATCGGTGTCATCGTTATATTCGCTAATGACTGATGGTGCAAACCTTCATTGTTGCGTATCTTAATTGGTAGTCCTGAACCACATCTGCGAAACTAATCGGAATAAACACCAGCAGCCGTAACCCATTTCTTGCTAACTCAGTCAATTTGCATTATTGAGTTGTGCCGTTCGACCAGCAAGACATTCCACTGTCAATTGTATCTAACAACGTTACCGCTATCTTATTACTTTTACTTTCTTTAATTTTAAAACTATCAATAACAGAGGCGAGTTGATATGGGATGTGATGGGTTCAGCAGGTCGCTTACGGGAAAGCTGCGATTTGCTTCTTTTCTAAACGCACTCCCCTAAACGTGAATTGTTGAATAAGTAGTCGTACGGAGGAGGTCTTTTCGAACACATCGCCCCACTACACTGAACGGTATTCTCTTGGAAGGAGAAGTGTGGAGTTGTTGCTTGACATAATGCTAAAGCAAAATTCGAGAACCTAACGAAAAGATCTCAAAGAGGTTCGCTTCTCACAGTCGCATGTACTAATCACGAGTTAATTCATCTGCTTGCCAGTTTGTCGCTACCTTTACGAAAAGCCGCAGCCTTGGTAGCCTTCGTAAACCCTCTTTGTCTACTTTCACTGGATCAAACGATGCTAAGCCCTACATGCCACAGATACGCACAGCACCCAGGATCAATTTATCACAGGGGTCCACTTTCATGGGAAATCTGGCAGCCAATGTTTGGCAAAGCGACAACAAGTACCGTTGCTGATGCTCCATGTGCGTGTGTTATGTAATGTGCGTGCAGGACACCACAACGCGTACGCGCAGTCAACTGTCACATTGATTTGCCTCACATATGCGCTACCAGCCGTACGAGGGTGCTGTGATTGGCCCACGCGTCGTTCGCTTCTGCTCACCCATTGGCTAACGCGGCCTCCGAACCCACACTCACCTATTTTTCGCGCACGCTCTCGCGTAGACGTGCCCGCGCGCACAAACGAGATTTGGCTGCGGCAAATTGTACACGCTTACATAACACACGCTAACGGAATCGTGCGCCCGAGCCTTGGGCAAAGCACAACACTAGCCACGCAAAGTAATGCCGCGGGAAGTTTCTACCTGTGTCAGCAAAGGCAAAGCGAGGTGGAGGTGGCTTACTTGCCTCGGTTGTCACCCGCAATGCACGGATGCCGAATTGGACCTTTTAAATGTGATCTTCCGGGGCGATTCAGAAGAGCTGGAACAGTGTTTGAAGCACCTGAAAGCTACCGGTGAATCTGCAAGGCTCACCGTTCGGAGAAACCATCCCAACAGCCTTCTCGGAACGTTCTTCCAAGAATGCTCCCCTGTAATTTGGGCAGTGGATTGCCGACAATGGCATCTCCTCCCTATTCTTAGCCAGTATGGATACGACATGAATCGCCCCCAGTTGTGTCGCCGATGGACGTATTTCTGTAGGAAGCAGTCGCGCCCCAACCACTCCCCCTATCGGCGACTTTGGACGAAGGGTCAGTATACCTATCAGTCTAGTTTGGATTACTTCTTCGCAAGTGTGTATGAGAAGTTTGGTGAGTACTTGGAAATGCCACAGTATCATGATCTTGACCTCTTGAATCCGTTGCATCCACTTCTTTCTCGAGCTGGTGAACTCCTTGCCTATGGGGTTGATGTCCATCGGATTGATTCCATAATTGTCTTCAACTCTCTTGCCGGTTCTTTCGATCGATTCATGTGTAGGTATTTTGATGAAGGTGATGACATTCTTCCTGATATCCCAAAGCGTTTAGATGCCTTTATCGAATTGGAGATACTTCAACGACTCATTGAGAACGGTTTCTCCGAGTTTGAATGTATGGAATACGTCAACCCAAACACCAACTGGTTTGGAATACTTATTTGTCTCCTGTCCCATCCAAGACTTATCAAACTGGTCGAAGAAAACCAACCGGTTCCTCCAATCCTCCGTTGTGCAGCGCTACTTTTCATAAACATTCTAATGTGGAGGCATTTCCTTCCCGCCTGTGGCGACCTCCGTGATACTGTAAATAACCTCCGATTACGGAAGACCTACATAAGACGCTATGGTGATCAACGTACCCAGTTTATATCTCGAATTGCAAGTGTTGTAAGAGAAAGTGATCAAATTCTTCACTCTCCGCCCTCGCTTGGGGTCCTGGCTCGAAACAGAATTCGTGGCCTTATTGGTGGTACCAACTTTAAGCAGAAGGTCGAAACCCTTGGGTTGCCATCAAAACTCGCAGCATTCCTCTCCTACATCGGTGTGGAACACGTCGGTTGGATCAGAGCGCCTCCATTTGTCGTAGCTATAGCCACGGGAAAGCTGAATTACTTGTCTTTCGAGGAACTAGACAGCGGGGTGGCGGATGACGTGGCGCTTACTCGTGCGTCTCGCCGCCCACCGTCACTCCCAATTCCACCGCGTAACCGCGCCTTGTTGCGATATCGACCCGGCTTCACAGCTAGAGGGACCTCTCCAATAAAGCGCAGGGCGTCCGCGTGCCCCCGCATCAGCAGATTCCAACCTATTCCCGTCCTTCGAATTCAGCGGTCAATGACCGCCGTGGTACGCGGGCCCCGACCCAGTTCAGCTCCGCTGCTCAAACTGACTCCCAAGGCGACGCATTGCCTTCAACTCCCTGTGTGGTGATAGAAAGTGAGAATTCGCCGGGCAGAATCGCCTGCTTTTCTACGTGTATCTGTAAATATGTGTGAGCGTGGCCTATTTTTGTACTCATACACACACATGCATACAAGCTTTATTTTTCGATGCGTAGAATCTTAGTTTGGTGTGGTGGATTTGTGTCACCCTTGAGTCTTTTTCTACGAATAAATCTGAATCAGTTTGTGGCTTTGTAGTTAATTCAAGGGGGACAAGTAGTTAGGGCGTATGAGGCATCTCTTTTGGCATAACGAGAGGCACGTATTCACTTGGTATTTTGCTCAGGTTTCGTAAGTTTTTTTCCCACCCTAATTAGTGTCCTATCTGCAGCCTATCACTTAACCTCCACTTCTGCTTCATCATTGTCAACTTCTCGCTGCACTCTTTTGGGTTTTGCTGTTGCCAAACGCCCCCGCCATCATATCCAGAGTCTAAATTCAGACTTTACTACGACCCCTACAAAGCAGGATTTCCAAAGGGAAGGTTTGTTTTTGCACATGTAGCTCGCAGTTTTAACTCGTCAAGTCTTATCAGACAGCCCCATTCACCTAAGCCGAGTGGTGACCACATTCGTCTTGATCGGCGCTGGCGCAGGCCCGAGCAAATATGACAAAGGTGCTTTTTCTGATAAAATTCTAGAAGTCAGTAACAATTTCTTTGAGCTTCTTGGTCTACGTCGCCCTTATTATCGATATGGGATCAGAATTCTGCTTGGTCTGATTTCCCAGGAGATCTGGCCTGATTACCGAACAGAGCTTTTAGCGGACAAATAAGGAAATTTTTTTTGGGGGGGAAAGCCGACCATTTCAAATTGTCTGTTTGAGAGTGGAGCACAATAGGAATGGGAAAGTCGTGAATGGGAAGTCGACTCTGGGTCGACGTAGCCTTGGTCCTCGCTCTCTTGCTATGCCCTCGACTCTTACAACGCTTTGTTCACAAAACGAAGTACGACGGCCCCACAGAGGTACTTCATCTCGATTCTCTGGGGTTTTCTAATTCATAAAACCGCTGCGGTAATATGTCATTGGCTTCCACGGACTTGCTGCCATAATCCTCCAAACTTACTAAGTGCCCTGTGTGAGGAGACCATGTGGTGGAACCTCACTCAGACCAATTGAATAACTGCAGGGGGACGTTTCTGTATCCTTACGGATAAAAATCTGTCAAGTTAGCGGATGCTTAACAGCCTAAAGGCTGCAGTTACCAAGGCGGCAAGCCATAGCGACCAAGAGCATCTGGCGGACACCTGTTGCATTTCAAAGAGCAAGTAAAGTTGAGAAAGCAATAGGGTAGCTCGATTTTGGTCAAAGTGTAACCTCGTAATGCAAACCAACAAGCGAAAATTTGCTAAACCCAGCAATGCTTTCGTAAGTATCAATAAGCTTCGATTTACGGTCATGCTGCAGCATTAGTTAAAACTTGTCACAGATTGTTTCATCATCGAGGCAGTCTGTACATTCTCAGACGCCGTAATGTGGATGAGGTCAAGGTCACACACTGGCTTTCCTTATTTGGCTTGTCGGATGTCATAAAAACAAATGTACACACTAAGTTGGCATTCCTTGCCTCTAGTTCAGAGCCGGTTGTAACTGGATAAAGGGCAAACCAACTGCAAAATCTTTGGTGGCTCTGGATGTGCTCAAACGCAGGTCACCAGGTGCCACAGCACGGGCGACAGGAGTGAAGAAGGGAAGCCAATTACGCTACTAGAATGGCAGTGCTAAATTTCGCGAAGCAACATATCGCAAGTTGCATGTGAAGCGTGCGGCCTGCGCAAAGCCCACCACTTTTACATAAATCGACTTCAAAATGCAGGCAAGCGTGGCGCACATTAAAAGTGTACTTTACAAAAGGTCTACGCTTAAGCAAGCACCCGGTCACTGCAACTTGGTGTTGTTGCGTCATTGACTGTTACCAGCACAGACGTCCAGCGGCTTTCGATATCGTCGTCCAATCAAAGTTGTCGAACAGCTACGAGCGTTGATGATTGGTGAAAGGAATCGGATCTGGCGACTGCAGGGGAATCACAACCAGAGGCACTAATTTCAATAAACAAAAAGCCCAACAGATTTTCGCTCAGTCTCGGCTTAAGAAAAAGGTCATTCGCCATTAGCAATCTTGTCCTAAACAACGTGACAAACTAGCTTTGAATGGGGTGCTTAGACAAGAGGCGGATGGACCTCAGTGAGGGAACTCACGTGGCCTTTTCTTGCGTCCGACCCATTACGATGGATGGACAAGTTCGCGCCCCCCCCCCCCAAAGTAAAATACGGGAAATCTACGCGGTGTGTCTCACGCAGGGCATGTCATCGTGGTGATAGTAATGACAAAACACGAAGGTTAACACGACCTGTGTAATTTGCTGGTGGATCAGACAATTCAGAATGCAGGCTGCACACGTCTTATTCTCTTGATTGAAAGGAGACAAGAAAAAAACGATGAGAATAGAATGTAATACACGGATAGTTAGAAAGACATGAGAGAGGGAGGGAGACCATGAGGATTTGGTACTGCTGATTATTGGTCTCTTCGGAGAGTTTGGACGATGGACCTTGGGGGGCCCCGGGAAGGGATCGGATCCCCAGGTTTGTCTTCGCTATCTCGTGAGAAATCGCCCGTGGAGAAGTAGGGAGCGGCGTCCTTGACAAGAAGGGTGTGGCACATATCACAGACGGGCGCTGGCTTCGACCGGTTGCCCGAGGGGGGAATGAGTTTGGAGCAGCACTGGGAACAGAAGATGCTGCCGCAGTGACGACAGTTTAGCTTGGTCTGAAGGCCTGCGGCCCCGCTTGGGAAAGCCGCTTTGCACCCCGAGCAGTTGCTCACATCCTCCGGATCCTGCCAACGCAACTCATGGGTCTGCTCACGCTGCTTCTCCAACTGGACCTGGGGACGAAGCAAGCCAAAATTACATCAAGCTGGTTTGAATCCCACATAACCGAGATTGTAAAGTTGTAATCCACGCAGGTGAGGAATTCGACAGAGGCACAGGAAGCTCCCGGCTACGTTGAGGTTTGCTTTCAACAAAATCTCCAACAATCTTAGAGTGTGAGACATCTCGCTCTCCATTGGCTACCAACTTCACCAGTGGATTTTGGTGCAGCAATTAGCTGGTGTGCACGACATTGCCACCACACCATCCCAGTTTTAAGCTAGGTAATTTCAGATCACCTTCAATTAAAATAAGGAGAACAAAAACATCGATTATCCACAATGTTGCTTGCCTGCAAGTGTTGGGAAAGACGGACAAAGTCCTTCGAAACCTTCTCAGAGGTCTCGAGGTCGCACTGAAGGCTGACCACGCGAGATCGCAGCTGCGCCACCTCCTCGGTTGCGCGTCGTAGCGACTCAGCTGTCTCCTGCAATTTGGTCTGAAATGAAGCAAAGCAAACTCCAGCACAGATCTGCGCTAGCAGCTGCCATGATCCAACTCTAGAGCTATGCGTATTCAGTTGAGTTTACAAATACGCGCCCGGAACTTGAACCGACATTTCACTTTGCAAACCAGTGTCCTGCTTTGAAACTCATAGTTAACAGAAAAATTAAGCAATAGAGCTGATCGTGATTAGGGGCGTTCGGGAGTAGACGTTCAGGCGAATCGGAACAGCGAGATGGAGAGTGGACTGCCGCCAAGCCGCCTTACCCACCGCTTTAAACGCCGAAGTGGTCGGGGCGGACCCAGCAAAAAGACACATTCTGTCCTTGGTCTGCTTTAGCTCGACCCAAATTCAACATTTCGTAAGAAATAGACAAGGAAGTAAAGAAGTTTACTTGGAGATGTTTGGATGATAGTGTATCGAAGCGGATGTGCATTCGCCTCAAACATCAGAAAATGCAGAATTAATATTTTTTGGCCACAGACAGTGCATTTGGCTGAAATTGAGGGATGCTTTCGCGCAATGCGCTTTGTGCACTAAAAAAGTCATTACGAGAGACACGAGTGAGGTGGCGCGGCAGTCGGTAATTGCCCCGGTGGAGTGGCTTTTGCCGATCAAAGCACCTGTTAAAAACACAACCGCCACTTGAGTGAGCGGCGGCAGCATGTGACCTGGGCGGAATAATTCACATGAGCGCCTTCACCTTGCCCGCCCACACGCACACACCTCGCAGGCGAGCATCAAAGGCGTGAGGGCGACACCTTCGAGTGGGAGCTGGGTGCGTGCTGGCACAGAAGCTGCCGCCGAAAAAGGTCGGCTGACCCGCCGACAACCAACCAACCAGCAGCAAGATGGGTGAAAATGACCCCCAGGAGCGCAATAAATGCGATAGGCTTTCGAACCTGGTCAGCCACTAAAGAAGGTTGCGATAGCACTGGGGCTTGTGGCAGGGGAGGGCCACGTCAGTTTTAGTCCTGAAGCCAAGGTTCTGTTGCTTTCAGGGATTAAAACCAGTAACAGAGCGGGTTCAGATGTATGCAGCCAATGCTTAGCGTAAAAGCCTTGTGGAAAGCAATGTTGCCTCCACGAAAGATACACAGAAATTGACCTGCTAAAAGAAAAAACCCTAGTGTGTCCGTGGTCAAGTTCTCGTAATCCACTCAAAGAGGCTTTGCGGTACAGGCAAAGAAACATTTTGTATCTCGTCACTTGTAAGACAACTAGTGAACACAACCACAGTTGTAAAGTAACCATACGGCGGTTGTGTGGACTGTGGCTAAGCTTCGATCACCGAAAAGGAACTTCTGCCACCACACAACGCCACTGCACACCCTAAGCTAAATGTTGCAGCCGACATCTACGGCGTAGCAGCGATGGTAATTGCAGTGTACACGTACAGGGGCGAGGGTGATTTACCGAATCGCTGCCCTTCCCCCTCCCCATTGCAGAGCTATTTTGGTGAGCGGCGACCTTCGGAACAGGATAATGACTGCTACGAGCAGTGATAAATAACGTGCAGAAGTTGAAATTCAAAACACCTCCTGACCTATGGTATGGCTTAAAAGTAGGCGTCGACTGAGGTCATGGCCAACGCCAGAACCAATAAATCAACCGAGTTTGGCCAATGGCCGGGGGATGCTAAGCCCAGGGGCAAAATAGGTAGAGTATCCAATTTGAAATAATTACTTGTAATACAGAAACACTGGGCATATTGGACATCAGAAGCTTTCAGAAAGCCGTAGGCAATATGCACCTAAATTAGGGGGAAGGTAAACCACAAGCTACTGAAATAATATCAGTAGAAGGGATAGAATCCTTACCCGACATTGCTTTGCCTCCATGGAGGCCTTCTCAGCAGCCCGTTCAGCAGCCTCTCTAGCAGCAGCAGCCTGTGAAGCCACCTCGTTGGCCCGCATAAGCTCTGCTGTGCGCTCATTGGCTTCCCACATGTGTTGGCGCATCGACTCCTCAGCCTTCATGCGTCTCTGACGCTCATCGAGCAATTGGTCGCGGTTAATGGCGATCTGGGAGTCCAAACGTTGCATGAGATGCTCACGAGAAACACTGAAAGAACACAATTTAAACCGTCAAAGATTCCACCATCTCGCATGGACGTGTTATTCACATCAAACTCCATGAATGTGCGGGCTAAAGTGATCTCGACTTCGGCTACTGCTTTCGAACCGAAAATGCAAGCTCTGTACACCCTGCAAATTCTAGCAAAATGAATGTCTTGTGGCTAACTTTGTAGACAGAAGGTCCTCGCGCATCTGGAGGGCGTAGAGCTCGAGGTCCTCCTTGTTGGAAGGGAGGTCAATCGGAGCGGACATCTCGGCGGCGGCGTTGCGTCGCTTGCCCAGCAACGTGCGATAGTGCTCCTCGATTTCCATAATCTCCATTTGGGCGGCCTCACGCTCCCTCTCAAGACGACTGAATTCGGACTCTGTCGCCCTCCGGTACTCCTGCATCACAACAAAGGCATGAGAACTTGTTAGCGGAAGAGTTTGGCTCAGGGGAGTGTAAAACTCCGCCACCACATTCACACAGTTGGGCTGGCGATGCCCCCTATTACCATGCATCGGGGGAGGTTGGATTAATAACAAAACGACCCGTGCCGGTTGGGAATAGCTTACCTAGAAGGTTGTCAATTACTGACAGTGACTCAAAAGCGACTTCAAGTAGCTTCTAGCGTAAAAAGTGTTTTGGAGGGGCCAACTTCATTGATCAGGGGAGAAGCCCTGATGCGTGGAGTATCTGGTGTTAAATTTTCCCGCAGCGGTGATTTTAGGCTATAAACCGTCATCCTAACACTGCCCAAGACTTTTCACCCACTGCTGGTAAATCAAGCAGCCGCCAATCTTAGACGAGGTCCCGCAAGTGTGATTGTGTGTTCTGGGGTTAACATCACTGCAGATTAATACCAATAATTACAAAATCGACCTTAAGCTCTAGCAGATGGTACTTTAACTTTCTGGACAAATGGTAACTGCTGTAAGCAGGATTAGCATTTTGGAAATCACGACTCGTGGCTGTGGTGACAAACACCTCTCCACCAGGCTAAGATTTGTGTAGAAAACTACATTGCACCCAAGACAACACCCTCAGCATGCTGAACTCAACGGACCACAGTAACCGGATGACTGAGCGCTGTCACACCACTTGATCTAGCGGTCCTAAAGGCACGCAAGTAGCGTTTCACGGTGTGCAGTTGTGTGTGTGCAAATGGATAGCAAGTTGGCTTTGGGCAAGTTGCCGGAACGGAAACTCAAACAAAATACGAAATACCTGATATCTCTTCATGAGGGCGTCCAAGCGCTGACCCATCTCGTCGATGCGCTGCTCAAACGAGCCGGTCCTCTCCTCGAACAGGTCTTTTTCGGCTTTCGATCGAAGTTCGATCTCCTCGTTCAACTTCTTTACTGTGTGCAATTCCGCGACGGTGGCACTCAGTCTATTGTTCACAGACTACAAGCAAATATTGTCTTCTGGGGGCTTACAACGTTGGGTTGTCAACAAGCAAGTACCACTAACCATGCAAACCCCAAATTAGACATACCCTGAGGCGGGTAAATTACTTTTAAGTAAAAAACAAAGAGTTTAGTAAAACACCTAAGCTCCGATGACAAGCCTTTCATTTAGTTTGGCAACAAGTGCTTTCCTCAGAGCTCATCACCAATACTTGTGCAGGATTTGTCGAGTTTGGAAAATGCAACAATACAGTAAATCAAGACAAAAATTAAACGTAACATAAAGAGAAAAGGCACAATTTTTTAATTTGCTAGGGTCCGAGCAAATTAGAAGACCATCTCCTTGAAAACACAGTATCCAAAAAATGGCGACAGTGGGTGGTGATAGGTGCTGAATAACAACAAAATACCCAATTGTTGACGTGTCCTGACTTCTAAGAAAACAAACGCACGTGGTTGACATCTATAGAATGAGACCTGACGCACCCAATTGCACGCCAACAAGAATTTTGTGTGGTCACAAATTGCCCTTTAACATACACTGGAAACAGTCGTTTATGGGGATTAATAAGAAAGCACAGATACAAACTAAGTTTTCAGTCGTCTAAAGTATTGCTGCTTTGGCTCACTTCAGTGGCAGGACGCAAAAAAATATGGCGATAAGCTTACCGTGTGCTCCAGTTGCATCGCATTGAACTTTTCTTCCCATGCTCTGCACCCCTCACAGGTTACTACGCCTTCCAGAGGCTTCGACTCCACCGTTTCTTGATCGTCTCCTTCAGATTCTGACGGTGAGTTCTGATCCAGAGAGAGATGGCCAAGAGAGGGGATAGGAGGCATGGTCGACTCTGCCTTGGTACGAGGTGGAGGAGGTGGTGCAGCTGCAATTGGGAAGGAAGGTCCATCCTGAGGCTGCTTCTCTGTTACCAGCTCCAGTTCACGTTCCACATCGGAACCGACTGAAGAACTAGCAGTTGAAGGGGCTGTAAAAGTGCGCAACGGTGCTGTTACTTATTCGGGTGGGATCCGTGCTTTTCGATAAATTTTGCATAGACCAACCATTATTTACAATACAACGGTTTATCTGCGATTTTTATAGTAATTAGGGTTCGGTATCATCTGGATCACTAGGAACATATTTTGACAATGAAATCAGCTTACCAGTTTCCGGCAACCTTGCTGTCAACATGATTTAACACCAGTTGTTCTAAAAGTGAAAACGAGAATGTCAACAAAAAAGGGCATCGGGTGGTGATTTCGTTTCCACGAAAAACGGTCTTTTGTAAAAACATACACTATGGGCACATAAGTAAAAATAAATATCGGCGATATCGTAATCTTCGAACTCAAACACATACACGCAAACCAAATTACCATCATATACAGACGTGTAAATAAAAGCCATGATACCATTACGTTGTCGAAGAAACTAACAAACTTACATCAACATCTTTTAAACGCATAATTCATAGCAATAAAATCATTCATTGAAGATGCAACGGCACCCAGGACTAATGCACAATCACTGTTTAGGAACGGACTCTGTTTAGAATAAAACAATAAGCATCTTGTCAACGTTTTTTTAAATTACATAAATGAGCACTACAAATTTTAACAGATTTCTCCTTCCACACTCTAAACATTAATGCTTTACAACCACTTGGGAACAAATTAAGTGGCGGTTTTTGTTATATCAGTATTGCATCCAGAATTGCTTAATGAGTACGGATTAAATCCACAACTTTTGAACACATCACTCACCCAAAGATCTAAACTTAAGAAAATCAAGTGGGTTTAAAACAACACAATTAAAGCAGCACTACTAAAGCATTACAGCTGCTAAGAATTCTTCCTTTTGTAAAACCGTCGCTCATAAGTACTGCATATTTATAAAACATATAAAGTGGCAATCGGATTTCTTCATATTTTAATTCTTTAAACCGCGAGCGATGCACTACCTTATCACATGTATAAGGGGAAACTGCAGGGACGATGCGAAAAATACTTTACTTATTAGGTTTATAAGCGGTTGTGATTAAAGGAACTTCTGCTGTTTAAGGATAACAATTAAAAAAGTCAGCGATTTTATTAAAAGATATTAGGACATTACAAGTGAAGGTATATCTCGTGTATTCTTTTAAATAAGTGTTAAAGTGACAACATTATATTTTACGGAGGCTATCAATCGCACATAACGTACAACACTATGTAGGCAAATTAGGAAAACCTATACAGCATGATTAATTGGGACACATTACGAAAGCCATGTGCAGGCAGTATTCAGGAACTAAAAACAGACAGGGTTCGCACCTTGGTGGACCAAACAAATCGTAAAACAGCTTTAAAAAGTATAAACCCTTACCACACAAAATACTACAACTTATCCAGTAAATGAACTAAGGCAAGTAACACCATTTAAAAAGTGTCAACGAGAAAAAATAAGAGAGCACCATTAAAAAAACGTAATTTCTGCAAGACAGATCACAAAACAAGTACAAAACCATACATTAGTTCTTTCTGAGAGCTTTAAGATTTCCGGTACTTTATGGAACTCACATTATAAGGTAAAAGATTTATCAAGGTGCCAGGTTTGGTGAAAAATAAACCGGCAGATATGAAAGGACACACAAATTGAATTGCATATTGTTAATCTAACCTTGGGTGGCAATTTACAATAAAGGTAGCAATAAAAAAAAAACCAAAAAAAGATGAATAAATTGAGAAAAATGGGCAACAATACTCTTTCAATAAACTCACTACTGAGTCATACATCCAGCATGGCCTTATGGGTACATATCAAAATTTCAGTCCAACAATTTCTGACTTCCACCTGCCTTTGATGATAAAATGATAATGTAAAATGTATTGCTGAAATTTTTATATCTCGTGTTCACTCACCCGAAAAATATATACTTTTCAAACTTTTCTCGTCTGGTTCAGTGTAGGGTTCCAAAAAATTCCAGCTACTAAAATCGTGAACATTTAAAATACTTCCTACCCTTGATCTACAATAAGCAGAATCAAATCTTTTACACTAAATGATATAAGGCCATGACATGTATTCTGCGACCTGATTAATTTTCAAACTGAAATATGTAGCACGTATAAAAGGAATCCTGATGTCTAAAATTCTATACGTCAACCATTTCGCAATTTACTGAGACTGCATACAGCCATCTTGATGCTAGTAAGTCGTGTCACGCATTTTATTAAACATATTTCATGTCTGGTAAATTCCTTCTCTATTTTTTTAATATTTATATTTACTTAATATTTAGTAAGCTGCAGAAAGTGAATTTTCGCGAGTTTAAACGTCCTCAGCTGATCTTTTTTTCTTTAACTCTCTTTTTTACGTGTTTATAAGAAATACTCTCAGAAACATCCGACCCTTGTCGTATACTTGAATCTGAGTGCCAGGTTCCGGCAGAGTTGTGTGAAGCCATTCAACTAGTCCCATGACATTCCTACATGTATTTATTTATCTAGTGAAAGTAACTGTTAAACTAGTACTAGTTAAATCCGTTGAGCAATTTGTTCAATCTGTTTTAATGTCTGCAACATTCCTCGATTTTGTTTAAGTGCATTAAATCTTGGAAAATACCGGAAAAAATTAGCATGCAGCCATTTGAGATCAAGTGAACTGGCGCACATGCAAAATTTTTTTATTATTTGAAATCCATCAGAGAGAAATAACTCGAAACAAACTAGGAATTGTTAGAATCCATATAGTTTGAAAAA